GGCAGGGAGGTGCTGGCTCCCCCCCCCTAAAAAAGTTTTTGGACTTTCTGGCAAAATCTATGACGTTTTTCCACCGGCAACTTTCTGCCAAAAATTGCCTTTGATGGACATATCCCATTAGTATGTATGTTTTAGGTGAAGTACGCAGAAACACAGAAAAATGAATGGAATAGGATCTTACTTGGTTGTATGTTTCCGTGTACGATTATATGATTTCGATCTGGATGATTGTGTGTTTTGAGATCTGAAGTGTTCTACTTTTCTGTGTTTCTGCGTACTTCACCTAAAACATACATACTAATGGGATATGTCCATTCAAAGGCAATGCATTCTCGTATACAGCCAGCGTAAAAAGGTGTGAACGATGGAACCGGTCATAAATAGGGTTTCCGGTTGTTCTTAGGGAGGGAGCTAAAAATTTTGCTTCGCAGAAAGTGACTGGCGAAATAAAGTTTTCGAAATTTTTGGCAGAAAGTTGCCGGTGGAAAAACGTCATAGATTTTGCCAGAAAGTCCAAAAACTTTTTTAGGGGGGGGGAGCCAGCACCTCCCTGCCATCTCTGATCGGGAAGCCTGGTCATAAATGTTTTCTTTACGATCGTCGTATACGACAACGTATTAGGTCTGTATGTATACGACGATCGTTTTCATTGTCCTGAAGTACGATAAGGCGTTTTTTGAGACCTAGCTTCTACATGCGCCGACATTTTACTGATTGCAATCTGTCTTTCTGTTTAAAATAATTGAAAAAGCAATGATAAGAAACAATAATAAAATCTATTTTCGCACTCTGAAGTGTGTGCTGAATAATACAATGATAATTTGGTTGATTCTTAAAATCACAGAGAGAGGTTGTATTTATTCACGTACACAGCTGGCTTAAGTTGGTTATCTCTCACATATAACATAGAACACTTCAATTAAAAACCAAACGTGTTTTTAACTCTTTATTCAATAAATATAAAACAGACAAGATCAAACTATGACAGTCGAACAGTTACTACTTACTTTTTTTCCCTGTACTTTCAAAAACAATGAGAAAATAGAATAATTTCCTAAACCCATAGGGGAATTTTAGTATATAAAATGGCGTGTACGCCCGTCAATATCGTGAAATGAACTGTGGTCTCACGTGAACATCATAAAACGTGACCATGCATTTGATGTTGCAACTCCACGACTCCAACGTCGTGAAACCAAATTTTCCCATGGGAAGAACTGAATACAATAGCTTCATTATTTTTGTCTTACTCGTGTTTCTAAAAATCGTGGACAATTTTGATGAATGATGTGTCAACAGTAACATCTCTATAGAATTTACAGACTCTGGAGTGGAAAAGTCTATAATTCTTTATCCGAGTTTACTATTATGACGTAAGAAGGAGCTCGCTTCGATAGCAGCACAGGATGATTTGATAGAAAACTGTTGAGTATTTATACAAAACGTTATTAAAAAAAACAAATAACAGAAATCAAAGTGTTTTTTTTCTTTTATGAATTGCGTATTCATCCCACAATTTGGCCTTCTCAACTGGAACAAGAATACATTTGATATCGACATCAACCGTTTCGTTAATCTAAAAATAAAAAAAATAAAAAAATAATACTAATGTTATGAAACACTATAATCTTACTTTCAAATTGACGTTGAAGTCCTCGCCCAATTTGTATGTTTCATTTGTAATTGATCCTTCTTCAAATTGAATTGCCTCTTCACTACACATAATATTCTATAAAAAATAGGATAAAGCACATCGTATTCTTGAAAAATTAAGTTCAAATCAAGTAACATACCATTCGTCTTAAAGCCACACGTATTTGTTGTTTGGTTAGTATCCATGATTTTTGTTTCATATTTATAGGTATTTGTAATAAAATTGTTTTTAAATAATCACGACATTTCTTAACAAATGGAGAGATTTGTGGTCGATCAACTAATAGTTTACGTTCTTCTTCAAACAATTTGATATTTTCTTCAGTTGGATACAATGCTAATCGCGATGGTAATAGTTCAGTATAGGCAATTTGTCTTGGTATATTGACAATTTCACCTTTATAACCTACACCTACAAAGAAAGAATGTATTCTAATAATATCTTTAAAACATCAAGTATGATTGCTTTACCTTCAACATATTCTGTTAATATCACATCAATATTTCCCCATTTATTAGCATCTGTATCATTTATTATTCTATATTGAAAATGTTCAAACGAATATTTGTTATAATCGTATATATCTTCGTATGATTTCAGTTTTGGTAATGGATGCATACGTTCAACAACAATTGTAGTCTAAAAACAATAACAACTGCTAACATTTATAAATATATTATTTTTATTCAAACTGAAAAATGTACTACGAACATACTCGAACAGGAATTTGAACGATACGATTTAATTTTGTTACACATCGTAATGTTCGTACAATTGCATTCATAATCTTTGAGAAAGAAAAAAAGAAAAAAATTGATAATCTCAAATTATAATTTAATCAGTTTTTCCAAATATTATCATTATATTCATTGATTTATATTTTAATTATGGATAATAAAAAACGAATCGATGATAAAGAATGATAATCTCAATATTTTTATTATTCAAAATGTCTGTCCCTTTCATTCCTGAGACGGTAGTTTTCTCTTAAATTCATTATTTATTTCTATACTAAGGATAGACTGACTCTTTTATTGGAAAAGTAAATGAAAAATATTAAGAAACTTCAAAATGATCAATTCTATGAAGTATTTTTTAGTGACTTAAAATTTATTTTTAAATGGTAGTGCTGAAATTAGATACATTTTATAATAAAATAGACAAATACACTCTTTGTAAAGAAATCAATAGTGAATCTTTTTTAAAACATTCTAAAGTCTAATGAATGAAAGAGACAAAAGTTATATCACAAAATGCTGAGTATACCATTTTTTATACCGAACTCGTTAGGTCTACAGTGAGGCGGCTTTACTCTGTATCAATGATCAGAGAAACATGTCAATCTTCTTTTACTGTCATTTTGTTTCTAATTTAATAACAACAGAACAAACTGTACAGAAAAAGTTGCTTTTATGTGCAAGACTTTTTTTAATTATAAAATACAAACAAAGAAAAATAATCACACTTGCAAACAAAACGGAAAATATAAAATGAAACAATATGATAAGATAGTTCATACAAATGATTCAAAAACGTTAAATGAACAGAGAGAGAGAGAAAAAAATTTGTGAGTAGAAAGACAGGCCGAGAACTACCCTTTTTTTTTATTATCCATCAACATGCACGTCAAACGTGAAAACAATACAATAGAATTCAAAAAAAATGAGAATAAGAGAATACGAAAAATCTAAATTCTAGAGATGTCGCATAAAAGAAAAAAAAACAAGCATTTAACGAAAGACTACTAATGAAGAAAGATATGTCATCCCGTCGTGAAGGATGAAAAAGCAGAAAAAAAATAATATTTTCCGTTCGTATACATTGAATTTTTAGATGAAAAACAAACAAATTTGTTTATGATAATGTAAACTGTTCCACTCGTTCACTTTTGCTTATCCATGAAACGCCACCAGTTTCCGATTCAAATGCATTTGATACTATATTTTTTAGCATGACATATTTATCATTTGAATGTTTTGCTTGTTCATAGGTCGAAAATGTTTTATCTAATATTAATTTTGGATAAGAGAATTTTAATAAATCATTAAAATCTTGAAATAAACATTTTTTAGATAATTTTGATACACCACGATTATGTCTAAAATAGAAAACAAAACAAAAAATTAATTCTTTATTTCATTTTGTTTACATATTAAACAATAAATAAACCTTAATCGTCCTGTTGTTGGTTCAATTAATTCTGTTGATCGAGAATCGCTTATATTCCATGCAAAACTTGTTGATTGTAAACGGCTTGCTTGTCGTTCGTATTGAATTTTTGGACAATCGATTTCTGGTTGATTTACCTTATAGGGTGATGTTAATTGTGAAATTTTAGAACGTAAATAAGAGTCTAAACGTTTGATTAATGATTTTTTAACATGTTCTTGATCGAATGGACAAGCAATGGTTATTGTTGATAAATAAATTGGTTCACAAATTAAATTCACTAATAGACCACCTTGTAAACCTAATATATTCCATCGACATATTTTATCACTGCATGATTTAATATGATATTTATTTTTCGTTGGTGTTAAAGCTGCACATGTACCTTCACTTTGCTCTTGTTTATAACGTAATAAGCCAATATTATCCATTTCACTATATTCATCATCTTCGATATTTTCTTCATCATGGTTAGCACCATTTTGATTATTCTCTTTTGTTTTCATCGATGCATCACCACAAGGTAGTGATGATATAAACAAATGAAATTGATAAGAATCTTTTAATTGAAATTTATTATTGAGTGTATTCAATTCAAATATCGATTTTTCAACATCATCACCAGCTATTTGAAGTTGATGTATTAAAAATTTAATAAATCCTCGTCGTGCAAGAATTTCTGCATGGCAATCATGAATTACCGTTCCATCATCAACATAATTTGTTTCCAATAATGAACAATTACCCGTTCCAATACTTAGAACTTGAATTTGTTGAAAATTATCATCTTTTGTTAATAAAATACATGATATAGTTTTACGTCCAATTAAATCATTATTGACTGATAACGATTGGACTACTTGATTATAAGTTTTCAAAGAACATTGAGCAATTATATCATGTTTTGTTACGGATGATGTGATGGTGTGAAGATGATTACTATACATCGATTGTTGTTGTTCATAAGCATACGCTTCTTGATACAATGTTTGTAATGTATAGTGACAAGCAATTCGTTGTGCGTCTTTTTTTGTTTGTGCTTGAACTGGAGAGTTGAATCGACGTTCATTCAATAGAAGACCACACGAGAAAGATGGAGAATGAGAGGGTCCAATTGGCGTGACGATATCGTACTTGAGAGTAAGATTATTACGTTGACAATATTCGGATAATGCTTGTACACAATTTCCACTGTGTAGCATATTCAAAATCTCTTGACTGTTTGTAGTTGTTGGTGATGAATTGTCGATAGTAGTAAATAATGAGGTATAAGGTGGGATGAGTGAATTGTCAACATTTTGAACGCTTGGTGATATGTACTCTAGTAGTGGTGATGATGAGTTTTGCTGTAAAGTAGTTGGAACAGAAGATGACTGTGGAGATGGTGATTTCGGTGGTGATGGGGGTGGAGAAAGAGACTGAGAATCCAAACTATTGGTATTGCTGTTTTTATCGTTTTGTTCTGAAAAAAAACAAGAGAAAATATCTTGAATCTTGAGATTATTTAAGATCATCATCCTAACTCATCACGCTTAGGCTATAGCATTTGGATGAAAATGAAGAAAATAAATAGATGTGAATACCTTTCAAATTTGTTTCGTCTGTACTTGGCTTTCTTAATATTGTTATCGATCGTTTTTCTGATAGATTACTTTGTTCTGGTTTTGTTAATGTTGATGTGTTTGTTGTACCAGAAGATGACGCTACTGGTGTCTCGACGGTATTGGATGCTGAAGAATCAAGGATTTGTTTTCCTTGTTTATTTCGATTTTTCTTCTTTTTTGGATAAATATTTCGTATGATATTTGTCGTGTTAGTATTGTTACTGTTAACTGAAGATAGAGATGAATTCATTAACACTGGGCGAGGAACAGAAGAATATGCCGGAGGATTGTATAAGACTGGAGCGGACTGGGGATGCAATGATGGGGTTCGATATGAAAATCGCTGAGGATCAAATAATGCTGGACCAACACCATTAGAATAGCCGAAAGCTGGCATTGGAAGTTGAGAAATCTGTAAACGATTTATATTAGGAATATAGCCTTCATGGAAAAACGTTGTTGGCCTACAAAGAGAAAGATAATCATTATCATGAACCTGTCGGCAAGTTTCGTATGGTATAGTAAATACGGTTATGAATTCAGATGAAAAAAATAAATATCTATCAGTTAAAACAGAAAATAACACAATGTATCATCCTTTTCCACAATTATATGCAAAATACAGCAGATAAATATTAATTGGTATAGTGAAAATAATAATGATTTCTCCGGTCATAGTCAATGTTTGTATTTTTACTAGATACAAGATATATCTTCAAAATTCCTTTACGTTACAAAACTCATAAGGGAATAATTTACGTTAGTGTTCTATTAGTACTACTAAATTCCGAAGTGTTTATTAATTTTGCAACGTTAACTCTGATAAGATTTGTACAAAAAGATAATGCGAGAAGCAAAACGAAATAAAGAAACGATGTGGAAGCGAATAGAAAGAGACACAGTTGAGATGACAATAATGAAGATACAGGACAGTGTTTTTGTAATTAACTTGAAAATAGGAATAATATTTTTATTTTATATCGGTAAATATTACAAACATTGAAATAGGTAATTTCGATTCGAAAACTTTTCTCTTAATTTTGTTAAACAAACTGGCGTATATTCTGCGTATGAACCAATAGAAACAAATCAAATCATGTGAATCTTCTAGTCTTTTTGTAGTTTTTTTACTAAATTCACTAAAACCGTGAAGATGCAGATGTCACTAATTAGTAAATCGATTTTTCTAAACACTTTAAACGCTGTTGTTCGCTCGAAGTGAGTAAGTTATTCAGTGGAAGTAACTGTCTAATTCTAATAGCGCTTCAATTTACTCAACTGAAACTAAGACACATTCCGATCAGCTAAAAATGATATAAATCATCCTCTGACCACTAATAATGTGAACATACACCAAATTCTCAAGTGTCACATACAGCACATTAAAAAACTGCAGTTATTCAGAAAATCTTCTAGTTGTTCACTAATATTTCTTCCGCAACCTCGCGAAAGGCATATCGAATATGCTAGACTACTACACTGACAAATGTACTGTTTCAGATTTACAATATGATAGGTAAGTAGTTCCAATCAGTCACTAGTAATTATAAAAAGAATAAAACACATACCGTCCAGCAACTGAAATATTTCCACTACTAGGACGGGTTTTATTTGATCTTGGATTAAATTGATTGATAGAAGGACCTCTTCCTCTTACTGTCATACCAAAATTATTGATTTGATTATAATCAACGGGTATTGGGAACAGAGAACCAACGGGTTGTTCAAATCGATAATCAGGATGAAAATTGCTTTGTAAAAATCCATAAGAAGGACAAGGCGATCCATGTTGTATTCTTTCAGCATCATGATGATTACTAGCAGCTGTTCTAAAAACATTGTTGTTTCCACTAAACATTATATAAAAAGGCGAATAATATATCAAAAGCGTGTTCAGTATTTCGAGTATTATACTGTATTAAAAACAATAGCAGTACTTACATTGTATTTTCTTGTATATTTGTTGTATCTTCAAAACTCACTCGTTTATTTTTCCTTCGATTATTGTTCAATTTTTTACTACTGCTACTTTTGTTGTGATTTTCTTCTTCTTCTTCTTCTTCGTCATCTTGTTTTGTGGAAGTTGCTGATATTGATTTATACTTATTTTCCTGTTCATTATTTGAAAACGTTGAAAAATTATCTACATAATATTTTTTCCCTGTTTGCTGCGGTGGAGGTCGACTTTGCTGTTCAGCTGTTGTAGCTAATGATGGGTTGTATTTATTTTGTTGTTGTTTCTCCGAGAAATTTGTAACATCTTGATTTGGTAAATGATTAGGTTTCGTGCAAGGTGGCATATAGAACGTTTTTGACATTAGAGGTCGATATGGTAATTGTTGTGGCGGAATTGAATGAAAAAATGAAGGAACTGAACGAGAAGTAAAACGTTCGTTATCTGAATTGAACGTTGGCAAGCGTTGTTGTGCGTTGGGTAGCAGCTGACTTGAGTCATTTGATGTTGTTTGTGGTAATCTTTCAACTTTTATATCCATCAGTCTCTAAATAGAGTTACACATTATTCTCTCATATGAATCGTTCCGTAAATTGATGCTTACAGGTGTAAATGCTCGTAGTTTTGCCTTCCATTCATTCTCATCCGGGTCAAAAATCGTACCCGGTTTATGTTGAAGTGGCCTCATCATATTTATTGGATTCATTAACATTCTATTAATTTCAGTTGATTTATTTATAATCTTCGGATCAATATTCTAAAAGTAAAACGCATAGTTCTATTTTTTCAAGTAGTACAGATATTCTCTGGAAAATAAGGACGCATGTTTAACTGATTGAACTGGATATTTGAAGATTTCGAATATACGATAGGTCTTGCAGTTTGATAAAAGAGATGCAGAACTCTTTATTCACAAAGCACACTAAAAAGCAACTTTCTGTTCAGTCAAATATCGAAGCTACTTACCATTTTACTAGTTATTGATGGTAAATAAATGATTATATATTCGTCGGGACTTTTTTGTTTAACACTTGTTGCTTCATAGTAAAAATTGTTGTTATTATAATTTGTTGAGTCGATAATAATATCTAATAATAGTATCTAAGATTGAATTCACCAACGTTATTGCCGAATATTTGCTATTGATTTAAAATCAAGTTTTACAACACAAGTGAAGCGCATCCCTACAAAAAAAACTTCAGTGCACACCGGTGCCTATCAAGTCAGGCCAGTGCCGATTAGCATCTGTGCACGCTGAAATATTTTTTGCAGGATTGCTTCCTTAATTTTGCATTAATTAGAGTATGATACTGGTGGAATAGTAGAAAAAACTAGAATGAGGGCGTTAAGCGACCGAGGAGAGATCTAATATAAAAAAGCTTTTAGCTAATTGCTTACAACCTCTCACTAGCCCAAACAAACAGAAATGGGAAGAACAGAACAGTGAAACCTGTTGGAAGATTATGCCCAAACAAACATGCGTTCTGAGCGCGCATCAACAACAAGTAAGTTTCTCTCTTTTCGATCGGTTCTACTATTCTTTCATTTTTAGCTGTATCAACGCTAGACATTTGTGTTATATGGATGTGTACTTTACATCTTTTCGGGATGTTCAGTCCCGGCTGCTTTCAGGTACCGTACAGTACACACATGCACACAATTTTTGTACAAGAATCTTGAATCCATGAAATACCCATGTACGACATGTCTACTAATAGTTAAATGATTGAATCCAAAAAAAAGAAGAGGATGCTAGAGAAGAACCTGCATGGTAATAGATAACTCTAAGAAGTTTTAAAGAGCGATAATGCCTATAACAAATTATAGTCTTCCTTAAATAAACAATTTATCTCACACGCGCACAAACGCTCTCTATCAATGCACACCAATAAAAGAGGATCGTTACTCAGTTACGCGCATGAAATAATGTCATATTATGTTGTTTTAGTCTGACAAGAATGAATGCAAACTAAATCAACCCAACACAGAGCATTGATTCGATGGATAAAGTCTCGATACGTGTTGAAACGGATATTCTGGACAAAAATCAGTCTATACTAGTACACTGCCCGTGCGCTGCGACGGCTATCGCTTCTCTGTTATAGTAAATATTCTTTCTTGTCTTGTGATCCCCCTGTTGAGCTAACGAAGATTTGACAAAGAAATGATTCAATGACGGATCAGTCCGATTAAGAATCCGTTTACAGATCTTCGCTAGGTGCTCCAGAAGCTGAGATCATGAGGCTCATAGCTCAAGCATCAACATAAATCTCAAACTTTTTAATAATAAGGATAGTTATATAAATACATCACCCTAAGCGAACGATGTATTTCGCTTCCTTTTCAGCAATCTTCATATTATTATAAAAATTTATTTCTCATAATCAAGTCCCAGGTCAAGTAATCCTTCTAGGATTACACAAGATCGTATAGGATTTCATAGGATCCCTATAGCAGAGTCCTATGAAATCTTTCGGCAGGGATTCCGTATGTTTCTTGATATAGGACGGTAGCAAAAATCCTATAGGATTCCTATAATACGAATCTTATGTATTTCTTAAAAAATCCTACGGTAAGATTTTGCGTAGGATTTTGTAGTATTCCTATTTTTTCGTTCTGTATATATTTTCTTTTCTTTTTCTATACGAGAACACAATCACTGACGTGTTTTGCAGTAACTTTAATATATAAATACAACTCTACTGTATTGTAGAAAAGCCTCTAATAGGATCCTGAAGGATCTTACAAGATTCCACAAGATCTGACTACAGGATCCTATAAGAATCTTACAGTGGGATTTTGTAGAAATTTTTGGCTTTGAGATTTTCCCACAAAGTCCTACAAGATTTTTCTAGCATTTTACAGGATCCTATGGGATCATAAAGTAGGACCTTCTAAGAAGTTTGTAGTCTTACGGTAGGGTTGTTTGACCTGGAGTGGCCCAAAGACTCTTCAAATTACTGTCAAATATTCCAGTTAGTCACTTATATATCAGCGCCTATTTAGTATTCGAAGATATTTTTCAGGATTTTTCTATCTCGTAGATAGGAAAAAACATTCTTTATTTTAGTGGAACAACATCTTCCGTTGACGATTCTTTAATTTGGATCACATTAGCGTACTACTAAAAAGCAGTATGTTCAACTTTTTTTGAAGTTTAATTGCAAAAAACTGCAATATAAAAAAAAAGCATCTCAAGAAAGTTCACCTTCACATATAGTTTTCTTACCCTAGACAAAAAAAATTGTGAAATCTTATAAGAATCTTACTCAATTCTTATATAAGATCTTCCACGAAAGTGACAAGAATTCTGCTGAATCTTATAAGAATCTCACAAGAATTCATAAGAAGTTGGTAAGAGTCAGCAAAACCCGTACGTTATTCTTATCAGATTCTTATGAGAAACATGATTGAATCTCCTATAGAAAAATCCCAGTATAGTACTAAAAAAAGTCACTACAGAAGAAAAAGATAAAGATACGCTAAAAGAGAAAACCCTAATCAAATTTTAATGCAAGCAGATAATGCTTTGATCTTGTTATAGTCTTTATCTGAAAAGGAAAAATCAGTATAAATAGAGAGTCAGGTAGTAAATTCAGAGGATGTACACAGTAAATTCAGTTCTCTGTTCCCTTACCTAAATAGGTCTCATTTTCTAGTCTAAAAAAGTCCCTGTAAAAAAATTCCAGTGTGCACCGGTGCGCATGGCATGCCATCGGTTACTGGCACCGGTGCGCACCCGTACCCAGAGAGTGCCGAACCAGTGCCGATATATTTCTGCCGAAAGAGTGCCACACTGGTAAAAATCGGTGCCGCATGGGTGCCACACTGGCAAAAATCAGTGCCGCACTGATAATTTACTTAATCAATTTAATTAGTTCTTTACTATGGTTGTTTATGCTGAATTTGTATTAGGACTGATCAGTATCACATGGACATGCCAAAACCATGTGGCATTGCCTCGGCACTTCTCTTATGGGAAGGAAAAGATGTAGTCAGAAAGACATTCGAAATATTAGAAGTAGACTGTAGCGTTAATATAGACAGAAATTGACAAAACAAAATGGTGATTGAAAACAAAACTTCGCCAGTGGTACGCATCGGTGCGAGATTTTTACATTCTTTCTGGCGCATCGGTGCCCAGAAAAAAAATATATTCGGCACCGGTGCGCACCCGTGCACAACCAGGGCCGATAAAATATTTTTTTGTAGGGATACCGTATATAACAGACACTATTTTACGTCTCGTTTAAAATGAGAAAAAACGTTCGTATTATTAGTCATACACGTGGCGAGAGTATATGTATACGTTTATATCACGTGGAGCAATCTATCGTTTCCTAACATTTTGAAGAAACATGCTTCTATAAACGTATATATAAATATATACGTATATATATATATACACATACACTCTCGCTACGTGTATGAATGACGACACACGTGGTTTTTTTCTCATTTTAAACGAGACGTACAACAAGGCCTGTTATATAAGGCACTTTATTTCTTAAAGTAGACTACTTTTATACTCGAACTTTTTGCAGTTTATAGCTGCTTTTCGAACCTTTTAAAGTAGAACTAAATCAGTAAACTAACCAATTTAGAGTAAGTACACAGCACTTGTAGTGAGTGAGAGAATAGGGATGTATAATATTCTTTCTAATTTACTGTCGCTCGCACAGTTGCAATTTTTCTTCATTCATTTTGGGTATTAAAAATGGTTCTTCTTTATCATGAAATACACCAAGTATAGGGGCATTCTCAGTGTATAGACTCAGTTAATGAATGTTTTCTTCACATATGGCAAACGTTATCTTACTCACAGGCGAGCTATAAAACATTTAACCATTCTCACTTTTATTCTGAGACCAAATGCCAGTTATATGGCATACCATAATTGAGAAATACATGAGAAAAAACTATTAATATGGTTCTTATGACAAGTAGAAAGGATTAGACAAAGAGAGGGCGTGTTAATAAAACTGCTGTGTACAAGTCTTTTCTCAACTTCAAAGTGAGTCTGAGGTGAATGATTGACCCTGCTTGCATTATGTTCCCGAAGAGAAAACCGGATAAAACACGGTGAAATCAGTGTTTCAGCTACCTTACGACACACTCTTATATGTCAAAAGTTGTTGTTTTTCACTTTTTTTTGTGATAGATACGAACTGAGTTAATCTGCGAAAGAGATGTGTCTCAAAAGAAAACTTGTCCAGAAATACGAGTGTGAAGTATTGTGACTAGCGAAAATGAGACCTATTTGGATAAGCGAACAGAGAGCTGAATTTACTACCTGACTCTCTATTTATACTGATTTTTCCTCTTCAGATAAAGATTATAACAAGATCAAAGCATTGTCTGCTCGCATTCAGATTTGATTGCACTATGTTCTCGAAGAAAAGTCCGAGTAAAACATATGCAATCGTAGATAACAAACGATGACGGAAAAAATAGAGGTGGGACAGTTCCAGTTACCCTTCCTAGTAACTGGAACTGGTCATCAGTTACTGTTTTCTGCATAATCAAGATGTAGGAAAGTTAATGCTCATCTATCTCGTTTTTTATACTGTAATAAACTCATCTAGTTCAGTTCCCATAGACAATAGTGCCACATTTTCCATAGAAACAATACACGTATAGAAAATCTTTATTGTACAGCCTTTGATGCCTACACTATGGGAAACGCCTTTTACTGTTAAAAGATATTATAGAGCAACAAACATCCACTTAGACATGTAAAATTATGTCGATTTGAAAGAACAGTAACTGATGACCAGTTACAGTTACTAGGAACGGTAACTGGTCACCAGTTCTTTTAACCAGTTACTAGAAACAATAGGAACTGGAACTGTCCCACCCCTAGGGAAAAATGTGGAACTAGTACGTATCTGTGCAACACAGCATGCCGTCCGCACTGGTAGTGACTTTTTTCAGTACTATACTGGGATTTTTCTGTAGGATGTTTCTCGTAAGAACCGTACAAGAATCTGATAAGAATAACGTACGAGTTTTGCTGACTCTTACCAACTTCCTATGAGTTTTTGTGAAATTCTTATAAGATTTAGCAGAATTCTTCTCACTCTCGTGCAAGATCTTATATAAGAATTGAGTAAGATTCTTATAAGATGCTTGTAAGATTCTGATATAAGAACCGATGACTAGGGTACTTATATTAAGATCGATCAGATATTTAAAATCAGCTACCTCATAGGCGGAGCAGCCTCTTGAAACCTAGTGAGACGCAACATTGTTTTTTTCGCTCGAAGATAGCATGAATTTAAGGAGACCCCTCAGGAAACATTTTTTTTGTTCTACAAGCAATCTCTTAAGGGTACCCCTCCCCTCTTTTTTGGGCTTGGTCGTAGAAATGCTATGAAATAAAAACTAAAAATCACTAAGGCTTCATATTTTCAGAACTGATTGGACCATTGCCGTTCACCAGTTTCCCACAAAACTCGGTTTTTCATCGTGCAACATTACGACCCGCCTTAAATTTCATCCAATCGAGTTAAACATCTTACCAGAGGCACTCAAGGTCATATCGCAGAGGTAATTTTGGGGAAATTATTTTAAGATCTTTCCTGGACGATCTTAAGTATCTTTACTTAAAACGTCTGAAAAACCAAATTTTTCAATTTTAGAAACCCTATAACTTGGTAAAGAAAAGTCTAAAATAAAATTCTCTCAAAATCCCTCTGCAACAGTGTCTTGAGTACCTCTGGTACAATTTTTAACTCGATCGGAAGAAATTTAAGGGGAGTTGTAATGTAACACAATGAAGCCCGGTAGCAGAAAATAGTTTTCGAGAAAAAACGCATTTTATACATAGGTCACTTTTTTCAGGGCACTTGTCTATGCTTATATCTCCACGAAAACTCATCAGAAAATTCTGGAAGACGTCTCATTGTGAAGATACCCTTTCTTCTATCGGACTATATGTAAGGAAAAGTTTGAATGTACAGAAAAGGAGAGAAAAATTTATGAAACTAAAAAATCGAGTTTTTTTAGGCTTTGAAGGAAGACTTTCAAAAATGCATAACTTTTTGACGAAAGGTCAGAGAGTGCTGACGGTGATCTCATTTTGTAGCCCACACTTTCTTCTATATTAGGCTATGCTCAGCTCACAATCCGAAATTTTTTCAAAAAAGAGTGGGAGGACATCCTTAACATATGTTAATAGTCCATAGTGTTCTCTTTAAAATGGGAGTCAAGCGGGCCCTTACATACGTTAATACTTACTATCAAACTGGAATAGGCTAAAAATTTGAGTTCAAGTGGTTGAAGCATTACCGAGTTATTATTGCCACAAGGGACAAAATGAGCCTCTCAGTAAAAATGCTAAGGCTTTTTTGTACATAGGTACCGATGGTTTTAAATGAAAGTAGGCACGTAGATCTAAAAATGTATGGAGCAGATTATTAAAATTACGCTTTTGTTCATTTTCAGGATAAATTTTAAAAAGTCAAAACACCGAGAAAAACCCTAACATCGAAAAACGATAGTATTTTCCAGTTTTCTCGGAACAGGAAGCGAAAGTCAAAAATCTGTTCCATAGCTGTTTAGATTTATGCCTTAGTTTCAGAATAAAAACAATGACGTTTTTTAAAAAAAAACGTTTTTTACCGTGGGAAGATAGTCCATAGTGTTCTCTTTAAAATGAGAGTCAAGCGGGCCCTTGATGTTTTGTCTTTTAGGCGTGGCATCGAATTTTCTGAGAACCCTATAATCAATATCTTTTTAGGTGCTGTCGGTAATTCCGAAAACGGATGGAAACATACGTAATCTACCACACTGAATCTCGTGGCCACATTTAATTTTCAAAAACGTTTCAAAAACCTAGTGAAAGCCTATATTAAGTGAAATAACTCAATTTTGTCTATTTTTGTCTAAAATTGAAAAATTTATAACCAGATCAAGGTTCAACCAGCTCAATACGATTATTTACTTGAGAATAGTAAAAAATATTCTTTTACTGCTAAAGATTTCTAGAAAGCCTTTTCAAAACCCAGAGTATTTTCTGTAGATTTTCAAAGCTTTTATTGAACTGCATGGAATGTGTAGATAAAGTTGAGTTATGGCGAAAACCGGAACCCTCTATCTATCATTATTCTTGACTTATTCAAAATATGACCAAGCGCACTATTTCGTTGAACAGACAGTAGTAATTTTGCTGTGCCCAAACCATGTTCTGATCCATGTGTTCAATACCGCGAAAATACCGTCGGTATACCGTGAGGTATATTGGAATGGTATTAGCGGTAAACCGTGATAACCGCCAGTATTTAGCGGTAGTTTTTTGCTTACAAAATCGACGGCATATTATCGGTGAATCGTCGATATTTTGAATTACCGCGGGTATACCGCCGGTATTGTAGACAAAAGTAGGACATTGGGAGAAAAACGTTAAACAAGTTTGAAGGTCACTGTAGCAGTAGACATAAGGTTTAATCTAAAACTTCCCAAAATCCATCAAAAACTATTTTTTTTATTGAAAGCAACACAAATTCTGAACGAGGTTATCCAACTAAGCAATAAACTCAATTTCCCTTAAGAAAATTCTGACCCTAGTTTGAAGTCACTTTTTATACTTTATCTCGTATCTACGAAATAAAGTATAAAAAATGACTTCAAATATACAACAAACTTGTCAAAACGGCTTACAAACATCTGACCCTAGTGGTATGAAATGATTTTTCATAGGCTATCTCAAAGTTAAAGAGGTAAAAATGCTCTGGGATTACGGTGTTGGCTGAGATATTCTTCATTTATGTCTTTTTCAAATACCGAAAACTTATAAGCCTTCAGAGTAAAAAAATCAACTTTTTTGACTCCAACGCCTATAAGCTATCTAGAAGATACGACCAATCAACAGATGAATTAGTTGATAAATATACTATCTCTTGTTCACTACTATCAACATGTCTAATAGGTTTAAAAAGTAAGTACAACAGTCTGCTAGTCAGATAAACCTAATTGCAAGATATTATTTTGGACAATATAGTCATCGACATATCAATATTGTTCTAACAAATGCAAAAGAGACAATAACAATAGAAAAAAATACATTTCATTTTGTTTTAAACATGTGCTCAAAGTGCATCGAAACATCTTTTCTCTTTCATCCGTCAAAATTCACTAAATTCTAACATTTCAATAATCCAGGTAACACTACACCTGCGTAACGATTCGAATTATGTTTAAAATAAATTATTCAAAATCAAAAACTCAAAACCTTTTCTTATCGCGAAAAAATGCAGATAGATTTTTACATACGTCACGCATAATTATGGTTTTAAAAGAACACTGAAAAGAAAAGATGCGTTGTATATGACATTATTGTATCAATGAGTGACCTTTTCCGATTTGTGTATATGTATTTTTGAGCATGCAGTTAAAAAAGAAGAAAAAAAATGAAATGACTATAATAGACCAGTTAACTGCTTGACTAACGAATAAACAAACGAAATAAAAATTTACACGAGACTTGCTCATCCTTTCTGTCTTTATGATGGATATCAACTATAAACGGTCTTTCTTGTATCACGAATATGTACAATTTTATTTAAAAGTTACCACAAAAAGATCTAAAAAATTTTGATTGAACTTGAACAACGTCTAACTCAACTGCGAATGTAGACAAGTATGTATTTTATTCATGTTTATCATTCAAAATTTGACTTTTCTGTCCAATGATAAAAGTCACTATGTCATAATGCCAAAACGGGAGACTGGACATATTCATATATCAAGAAATTTTACAAGCTTGTTCGATTGGAGCCGACTACAGATTCAGGTTTTTCATAGTCGATTCCTCTGTATACTATCAAATTTGCGTCGAGATACTGCTAAAAAGTTTCACGTTGTGTTTTCTGCCTCTGCTCTAATGAAACAACTTATTTACTTATTGGATCTTTGGCTGTTTTAGAACATAGTTTGAAAAGAGTGCGCCAAAATAATGCGAACAAATAATCGTCTTTGCCATAATTTTCCTTTCGTTCTTTCTGGTCAACTTTGTATATCAATAGTGTCGTAAAATTGCAATATATGAGGACTTGAGACCTAAAGTTTTACGATGTTTTTCAGATATAAACATTTAAGGGACAGTCTGAAGTAGTTAAGGCCCACTCTAAATTTCAGTAATAGTAGCGAAGAAAACGGATTATTAAACTAACTACGACTTTAGGTTTTTGTAAATCTTTAGTTTTTCTAATTATTCGGTCATAGCGAATGAAAAAAAGCCAAAATTAAATTGTTCGGCTGTTTCAGATCCGGTTACACGAATTTTTCTGTTTCTTTTTTGCGAGGCAAAGTTTTGTTTTTTGCAGCTTCTATTAACAACAGCCCACAATATAAGATACATCAGTAACTAAATTTTTTTCACCATATCTCCTGACTATTACATATAATTTCACTGAACTCTCCCACGATAGACTATATATATTCATATGTTTAGACAGTTTTGCTTTATTTTATTTTTTCTCGACGAGGAGCGTGGTGTATAACGAAACGTTTTGATATTTTTATTGAGTGTGATATTTTCTATGATGTATATGATAGGGATGTATCATTGGCCTGTAAAAAATTATTCTATAGTTCTATTTGAATTGAGGTGTTTAGTTTAACTAGAGGAGAACCGTGGAATAATAATAATTTCTAAATTATAATAAACAAACACTCTAAATTTTAATCATAGGTCAATGGTAACAAGTTTAACAAAACGAAAATCAACTTTTATGCCATTTAAACGTAATAAAACATTTATACCAACTGGTCAAGGTGGATTTACGAACCATGCTCTAAATCGTGGTTCATTAACTCGTCGCCTGACACAATTTGGTTTTGGTGCATGTTCAAGTGGAACGCTCGTCCACTTATCTGATCCAACGTAAGATTTATTCATAATTATTTTTTATCTCCATAAATATAGTGTTGATCTAACTTTTAGTCAACCGGTGACATTGAACGTATTTGTTTATGATGAAAATACATATTCTGAAGGAAAACTCAAGAAAGCCGATGACTTACCGATAACAGAAGGAGATGGAAAAATGACATGGATCGATGTGGATGGTGTTCATCAACAAGATGTCATTGCACAAATTGGTCGACGATACAATATTCATACGTTAGTACAAACGGATGTAACAACAACGGAACAACGAACAAAATTAGATGTTTTAGATGATGCTTTATTTCTTGTTTGTAAAATGATATTTAGAGATGTGTCTAAAAGTGAAACAACAATTATTGAACAAGTTAGTTTTTATTTAAAAGAAAATGTTTTAATTACATTTCAAGAGACACCCAAAGATTTATTCGATACAATCAAAAGTAAGTGTTAAAAATGGCTATTCTTATTAAATTTTCTTTTGTTGTATTTTTCTTTTAGATCGTATTCGACAAGGAAAAGGACGAATTCGCAAGTCAAAAATTGATTATTTATTCTATAGTCTAGTCGATATTATTGTTGATCATTATATGGATGTACTAGATACAATGGGTATGAAGGTAGAATCGATCGATAATCAATTAATGAAAACATTGAAACGTGACACATTAGAATCAATATACGATATGAAGAGAGATATGCTCTATTTAAGAGCGATTATAGCACCATTAAAAGAAATCATTTTAAAACTACAAAAACAAGAAGAAACACAAATAATGCAAGAGAGTACAAATATTTATTTGAAAGATTTATTTGATCATGTTGTACAAGTAAATGATTCAATAGATACATATCGTGAAATGTTGGCATCATTTATCGATTTCTATATGATGTTAAATAGTAATGCAATGAATGAAGTTGTTAAAACACTGACCATTATATCGACAATATTTATTCCATTAACATTTATATCAGGAGTTTATGGAATGAATTTTCAATGTAAGAATCATTAACATTTATTATGATCGATTTTTTATTAATGTTCTTTTCTGTTTTAGATATGCCCGAGTTAACATTTAAATATGGATACTTTATTGTACTTGGTTTTATGGCAGTATTAGCAATCACAATGCTCTCATGTTTTAAAAAAAAGAAATGGTTTTAATTTGAATAAATCATCCTTAATTCGATTGAATAGTGTGTGTGTGCAATAGACCCGGTCAATTATATAGCGACAATGAAAATGATGATCCACAATTGTACAGCTATGATTTTGTTGTTCAGATACGACTATGTTTTCCTGTTGTTGCTTTATATGTGTGTGCGTGTATGTATGACCTCTTGTGATGCTTTGTCAGACAATCTCAAATTTTTTTCTATACATATGAATTTGTTTTAATATCAAAAAACCGTTTTTAATTTTATACAGTTATTCGACGAATGTTGTTGTATTGAAAAAATAAAACAAAATTTTGTTTAAAAAAAAAAGCGCCAGATTTGTCGTTAAAATTGACCTTCTTGAATAAGTTTTTATGTATTAAATGACGCTAATTAAAAATACTTTCGTATAATTATAATTACCATCATATTCTTCATCTTGTTTATTAGTTTGATATATAGAGTAGTAGACTGAAGAACATTCCAAAATCAATTCAAACAATCAGATAATTTAAAAAATTCTTGAAAGCAACAAACGTTTTTTTGATTGTTGCCTTATTTCACTCCTTTTCTGTATTTTTAGTATGAAAACTTCTTTTTTTCGGTCTAAGTGATCAAAAAAAGAAAATAGTTCATTTATTGGAGGGGGAGAGGGGGTATGCAACTCTCACACACACGGAATTGAGTATATTTATATATAAATATAATTGCGCTATTTATTATTTAATTATATTTAATTATTTATATTAATTGTACTTATTTTCGAATTTTCTGCGTGGTTTTGCAAAAAAGAATATTTTCTTGCATATAAACGCGTTTCTGTTACGTATGTTCACTAGATGCTGATAGATGAATGCGTTAGTTGAAGTTTTTATTAAAAATTTATGCTTTTAAAACTAGGATAGAGTAGAAAATCTACTGCTGTATTTAGTGTGCGAAGTGTTACATCAAGTTCCTTCCTGGTACGCAATAATCACGCAATTTGGTATGAAAATATTAGCAATACATATTACATAATCTACAATACATAATACAATACATAATCTGCAATATATAATACATAGCTAGTAATTAAATTTCTACATGGATGATCTGTTATGAGTGAGAAGGTTATCCATCACCTCCATTATCTCTTACACACATTTGTCTTCGAGAGGAAGAAAAACAATTGTTAAACTTGAATTAAGTACAAAACTTCGTTTTTACGGCTTGTCATTTCATTTACTCATCTACACTTCCACAATTTATTAAACGATGAATTCACTGAAATGAAAGATATGCAGATTTTAATATATCCTAGGAAAACATTTTCATCACTCTACTAACATTAACCGTAAGAAAAAAGGAAATTGACATTATTTTAACATTTAAATGTATAAAAACAGATTAGAGTCTAGCTTTCTTTGTATCTTTTCAATATGATACGATATTCTGTTTTACTTTTTTTTACTACTTCACAAATATTTATAGTCATTTTATTAGCTTTACAATTATTTTTGTACAAGGACATTACTGTAACATAAAAAAAAGAAATATTTTATAAATAAATTGAGTTGAAAAAAAGTACAGTGAAAATACTGAAAACGATTCATAATGATGTTGCCGCCGCCGCATAAGATACCGATGGTGTCGGTGGAAATTCGTCGGTTATTTGAGATTCTTGTTCAATCGATGATGACAAAGAATAAAGTTCAGACGACGGAATTTTAATTGTAAATGGTAGAGTAGAGTGTGGTGTTAAATTATTTTCTTCTCGTTCATTTACATCTTCAATTAATAATGAATAATAAGTATAAAATTCATCGTAGGTTGTACGATGTACTGGATGTTCGTCTTTTGTATTCTCATTCGATGATGTATTATCAATATTTTTTAATGCTAATGAACGTAATATTTTTTCATTCGATGATAATATAGATCGATCTTTCATGTATGCTTTTAATACGTCCGGTTTACATGGACATTCAAAATGGACACAATGAAATACTTCATTGGCCGTATTATGTGTGCCAATAATGCGAATAAACACCACGGCACGTGGTGAAAATGTCAAAATTTCCCATGATCTATAACAATATACATACATTGAAGTGTTTAGATGAGAACAAGGTTTCAGGTTGGTTTTACACAGAGACTTGTCATAAGAAATTGTAAATAGTAAAATAAAAAAAATTTCAAATGATAAGTCAACAACTTACTTGCAATCTTCATTTCGTTTATCAACAATCATACTCCAGTTGGTATTATCCGTAGATGTTTCTATGTAATAACCATACGATCGATTATCCACATCCCATAGAAGTATTCTGTGAAGGAAAAAAACAATACTGAAATATTTCAAAAAAATTTTTATAACAAGAAACAAACCTCATTGAACTGACAACATATGGTTGTGATAATTGTACAACAATTCCTCCACTACCAAGTTGATGACAAGTGTATCCTAAAATAATAAAATTAACGGTTACTCCAGCTAACTAGTTATAAATCTAAACTTCTGATTTACGACGATAGATGTGTCTAAACCTTTTCGACTCTCACAACCCATTTCGTTTTACTTGATGATTTTAAGGAAAAACTATAGAGAAAGCACATGTTTTTCCGAGAAGAATAGTTTATAATCAAAAGATGAGAGAATATTATTTGTTGATAATATATTACCAGAATCCCAATCATAATGTTCATAATCGCCATTGATTAAGGCATTTCGTTGTCTACTAACTCCTTCAGGTACCACAGCACTTGCTTCAATTGTAGCCACATTATCTTTTGGAACTAAAATAGAAATGAATGAACTATAACATTAGTCAAAATTTTGTTCCTTTCTTCCACTACCAAGTAAATGTCCAATCAAAGCGAATGGTTTGTACGTATAATAGACTTCCATTGAAACAAGATGAAATACTTTGTTTACTGTATTGTGAGTACCAACAATACGAATTGATCTGTAGAAATAATAGACAAAATTTAACACTAATGAATTAAAGTATTTTTTAACTTACGTTGCAACAACAGCTGGAAAATATAGTTTTTGCCATGATCGACATAGGTACGAACGATAATCAATTATTCTCGTCCATGTTACATCATCCGTTGATACTTCAATGTAATATGAATAAGAACTAGATCAAAAGAAAGTAAGAGTTATAAATCTTTAAATTATAATGATTTTTTTTTCCCATCTTTTTTTTAGTAAGGATATTTACCGAGCATCTCTATCCCAAAGTAATAATTTGATATGATTGAAGATAGATGGTTCACCTAATTTGACAACAATTTCATGATGATCATCGATTAAATGACGTGTAAAGCCGCGATCCTAAATAGACAAAATACTAGAGTAACAGTATCTACTCTATGCATGAAAATTGAGTACGAACAAGATCATAATTGGTTATTTCACCATCGAGAAGGGCATGTTTCATTTCTCCTTCGACAACTTGAGCATGAAAAGCTTTCGTGGCAATATTTTCTTCTGGACCTAAGAAAAACGAAAACTAGAATTGAATATTGTCAAAAAAATTATTCTCAACTCACGTAACATTCCACGATAATTTTTTTCTCTTGTTGTTTTTGTAGATACGACATTTGTAACGACATTATTTTTCACTTGCCCCTGAGTGGTGCTGCCATTTATATTCGCTGTATCTGTTGTTGTTGTTGTTGTCGTTGTGGTTGTTATTACTGATTCGTCATTAACAATATCAATTGCGTCCATAAGAATATTTAAGTCAAATAAATTTGAATAACGAACACTTTTTAACAGTTCATGCATTGACATTAATGTTAATCGCACTTTACTTGTTAGGTCGGTCAATGGTTTTGTCAAAGAATGATTTCGATGCCAACTTTTAACAGCATGAAATATATCAATTTCCGGACAATAAAATGAATCACGAGATATAATTGAACTAAACGCTTCCTAAAATATAGTGTTCCGCAAAAGTAGTGACGACATCCCTGTAACTCAAGAACTATAGGACTTCTAATTTTGTGTAGTCATAGCGCTCAACGAATGCTGATCACCCACTAAGTTTAGGCCTCTTTTACTGGATGACTTATGACATATAAGCGTAATTCTAGCAGAAACTGGCTAAAGTCGAGTGGGTACTAGGGTGAGATTGACACTTTCTTGATAATGTATCATCTAGGCGTTTTATAAATTATACTTTTGCTTGGTTATAATGCACATTAACCCCACAAGATATGGTAGAACGGGCGATCCTTAATTCTTCCGGCTCGTGGTTCTACGTATATGTTTCAATAGTGTCCGCTCGTTCTCAGTGGATTTCTGAAACTATACAATAGTTAACCTCAAAACCACAGATACTGCCGGGTATTTCGTGCAATTTTTGAGTCAAAGGAATATTCCTAGCCTGAGTTGGGAATATTTTTTAGAAAGGACCTAAAATAGTTGAGTTTCACTAACTAATAGAAGCCAACAAACGAAAGTCATGTCGTAGATAGAGGAGAGCCAGGGCTAGATTTTAGTAAAAAGAAACGCTTTTCATCTCTCTTGGATCAGGAGTTATTAGCATTTTAGGAAAAAGATAGATTCTCTATCATTGCCTTAGCCTTCCAGAAACAACAGGCTTGTCATTTCATCTACACTTCCACTACCATTCCACAATTAGAGAAGAGCGATCATCTCCGATAAAAACAAAACAAATCCGATCAAAAAATCTTTCGCTTGGATGAAGTTATGAAACTTTTGCTGAAAGCACCACCATACGCAGAATGTAAAAAATTAATGAAAAATGCACGACAACGGACAGAAAAATTATGATTTCTCCATGAATTTTGATGTGAAAAAATGTGAAGTGTAGCTAAGCGACAGAGCGAAGTCAGGGCTACAAAATGGCTAATTCAGTTTTTCTCACTATCAAAACGTTAACACAAGAAATCGTTTTTGAGTTTAGAAAGTTTTCATTTTTTTCGCCTTCCGTATAATTTGCTTAGTTATCTTGATTGAAGCTCTGAGATTACAGTTTAGGTATGATTTTGTAGAGTATTTCGCGGCGCATCTTTTAGAAAAAGCATTAACCTTAAGGTCTTAAAGGAACACGAGAAAAATTAAAAATACCGAAGGGCTCATTTCCTCTGGCATACCCGTTCCTAATTTTTTAAATAGATATTTTCAAGTATTCAAAATGATTCATAATATCAATTACTATCAAAGTCAAATCGTTATACGGTATCAGGAAAACTTTCAACAATAACTGATATGAAATTATTTTGTAATATAGACAGATGTAGAAGAGAGAAAATATTCATTGAAATAATAGGAGCAGATTTTGATGAAAAACACTATTAAAATCATTCAAGAACAATTCAATAAATTTGATCTTCATTTTCCAAAAAGTTTCTAGTAGTAACGTAGAGAAAAAAAAGAGAAATACATACGGCTGATAGAGTAAGAAATTGTTCGCTTTTAATAATTTCACGTGCATTACAATCGATGAATTGCGCACATTTTAATCTTAATGTATTTAAATTGTACAAACAAGCCGTATCATAAATCATACAAACATTTTTTAATGATAATATTGATTTTAAATAATTTGATACACTTATTTCTAATTGTTCAAAACTAAAAATAAGGAAATGAAAATAATATTGATGAAAAAGATTTTTTTTATACACAAGATTAACAAATTACCCATATTGATGAACAAGACCTAATAAATCAAGTAATGTATCTTCCTTGAAAAAAAAATATTAAAAAAAAAAAAATGAAAGGTTAATTCTACTTAAATAAATTTATTTACATACATACTTTTTCTTTAATTAAATTTACTTTTCCTGTATAAATGTATAACAATAATGTTTGAAATGCAGCTGCTTTACATTCTTTTATTTCAATTGTACGATTTGATATTTGTGATTCACGTAAACCACCATAAAGTAAGGCACTATAAAGAAAAAAAAAGAAATTTATTAAAATTCTAATAAAAAAAAAGAAAAGAAGTTAAACATATATCATTTTTCTCACCGAAAGTATTGACTACGAGAAGCGAGTATAACACGATGTGCATAAAATGATACATTTTCAACAATAAGTGATATATCACTATATTCTTCTTGATTAAATAAATTACCTAAAAAATAAAATAGAAGATTAAAAAATAAATTAAAATGTTTTTTAAAATGAAGAAAAATGATAAACATTTACCGATATCTTCTGATAATTGATGAACATGATTAACTTCTCCAAATAGAGTATTAGTTTGTGTTGAAATAATTCCGTTTGAATTACATATTAATGGATTATTTACATTTATATTAGTTGAATTACAACAATTGTGTGTTTGCCATGTAGCCATTCTACTACAATCTAGACGACGAGATAATATCTAAAAAAAAAATTAAAATTAATTATATTTAAATTTAATCAATTTAAAAAGTAAGGAAGATATTTAGTTCACTATTAATTCAATTATAGACGTGTTTAATTGGAAAAAAATCAATATTATTATAATACAAAAAAAACAAAACAAATGACGTTACTGTGCATGTTATTACTAACCTTTCTAAGTGCATTATCTTGTGTTATTCTTGATAAAGTTGTCGGTTTTGAGAACATTTTAAAAACTATTTAAACTAATAGATGTTCCTTCTCGTTTTTTAATCAAAATCTAATGAGATTTAGGTGACATATTTTGTTCTTTCTATAGAATTTTTCTTTTTTTTTTGTATATTTACATATTATTATTATCAATGTGTGATTGACATTGAATGTACATAGTTGTCATCATCCCGTGAAGCAGAACAAAGAAGGAAGATGATTCGATCATTATTAAATCGTAGTTGTATAATTTATTTGTAAAAATGAACAGCAGTGTATGTTATTTTTAGAAACAATGACATAAGTGCAAATAAAAGATTGTTTTTTTTTTCTTCCAAGTGAGATCGAAACACGTACTGTACTACAATTAGAAAAAAAAAGAATTCAAAGTTTTATCACATCTTTCCGGTGTAATAAAGGCGAGGCAATCTTTATTAGCTATTTGTTTGCAAACAAAATTAATCAATATGAACGTTAGCTGTTCAAATGTACAAATAATGAAAACTGAACAGAATCAGAAATACTGCTGATTGGAAAAATTGAATCGATCGAAAGAACATCTCTTCCTCATTAATTTCAGAGCACATTATAACGATTTATATATTTTCGATGGGAGTTTGCTATATTGTAGATAAAAACTATGACTAGAAAAACAATAGAGAGTTCAACGTTACGTTCACCAATACAAACACGAACATCTTACGAAAAGAAAAGACGTACATATGATTTTCTACAATCAAGAAACCTAGTAAGATTAATCTTATTTCTCTCTAACTCATCAATTTAAAGAATTACGTTTATAATTCTCGACTATGAGAGCGACTTTTAATATTTCACATAATCGGTTTCACCCTCAACTTCCACTATTTGCTTCAAAAAATGATATTCTTGTCCAAATGTTATTGGTGTCAGATGGTGTTAAGCATCCCCTTGAAGTAGAAACTAGAATTATCGAGATTTTCTTTGTCAAGAAAAATATGATATAAAAGTTAGTTAGTTCAGTTAAAAAATCAAGTGAGATAAAAATCAAGTTTTGAGATTAAAAACGAATCTAAAACACTTTTCAAGTATTTTTCTAACCACTAAAGGGTAGCATTTACCATAAAATATAATATCTTAGAACTTTTGCCGTGACTAGTCGACAATCAGCTCAGTCTGATAGGTTAAAATAGCTATGCGTTTTTATCAGGACTGAATCAGACTTCATTAAAATATACTTTCAGATACAGAGATGAACGTTCTGATCAGTTCATTTAGCACTGAATCTAGTGACGGGATCAGTACTGAATTTTCTGAAAAAGACAATTTCCGAAATTTCAGAATTAATTCTTCTTCATCTCAGAATCTGTTATTAGAAGAGAAAACCTCATGTAAATAACAAAGATTTCTGAACTTTGAGAAAAATTTAGAATAGTACAAAAATGAGATAACTTTGACTATTATAAATCTATCTAAGAACAGTATTATCTTGAGCTGGGAGATATTTCAGCCCCGAAAACACCTATGGAATAATTTGAAGTGACTAATGATCGTTTACTTAATTTCACTTAATTTATTTCATGAGAATTGACAAGAATATTCAGTTATGAAGAAGTAAGAAGCACAGAAAGTAATTTATAGATTTTAGTTTTTTTTTAATTTCATAGAAAATAAATTCAGAACTAAATCGTGGCTGATTTAGACCTGATAAAACTGTATAGCTGATTCACCTTTTCCTGATCGTTGACTAGTAGTCATTCAGAATCAGAGGGAAAGAAAACACTTCTGAACAAAAAACAGCATTCTTTTGAACTTGAAATCTTATATGATCTACGTTGAAGATCTTAGCTCAACGGAAGCGAAACCCCGAGCTTCTTCTCCGTTATGTATGTAAAAAATATAGACCATCTAGAAAGAATACTAGTTTTGCTACTCTTATCTGTTACCTTTTACCCATAAACAAAGCTGAATATCAGTTGTAAAGGTAAAACTTTTAAATAAATAGAAAATATGATGATTCAGTAGTGACATAGCTGGATGGTGAAAATGAGAAATTCTGGAAATGTAATTCTACAGTTCATCTCCGATTTTTTTCCAAAAACAGAGTGTCATTCCTGTTATTCCTATTTTCGGAAGTATAATATACTAGCCAAATAGGCATTTCAGAGCGCAAGAGACGAATGACAGCGCTGAATCAACTTACTTTGATTTTTTTGTAAAAACTAATATGGGAAATCTTCTTGATTAGTTAGTATAAAATAATAGGGGTGGAACAGTTCCAGTTCAGTTCTTTTGAACGGGAACTGCTTACGAGTTCTTTTCAAAAATTCAAAATCAAATAAAACCGGTGAAACTAGTTATACTGACTTTGTTTAGTCAACTAAATGCACGATTTACCTTTAGCCCATTAAACAAAGTCAACGTGACTAGTTTCGTCGGTTTTATTTGATTTTGAATTCTTGAAAAGAACTGGTAAGCAGCTCACGTTCTTTTGAAAAGAATTGATAGAAGTTCCCGTTCAACAAGAACTGAACTAGTGACCAGTTCTTTTCACCAGTTCTCAGAAACCTGTCCCACCTCTAAGTAGTGTTTTATCTAGGTTTCGTTTTTCAAGTGGGCGGTTGAAATTTTCAGAGGGATTGTTGGCTAAAAAAATTTTTGCTATAACTAAATCAGCTGTTTATTTTCGGGTAGGCGCCGCCCACCCGGCCCACCCACTAGCTATATCACTGCCCCTAAGTAATAATAGTCACTTTGAAGGTGTTTACAGACGCTTTTACTATTTCATTATCGTATAATCATCTTTTTTTGGGAGAATACCTTATGATTGAAATATAATGGCGTTTGAACGAACAGTATCTATCATATCTCATTCTTGTTTTAAACGTATTTTGAAACTACACCTTCGACTGTGATCAATCAAAACTGTATTTGCTTCATCGTTATTTTTTTTATTCTTATTTTCCCCCCTATTTCATAAACACGTATCTCAAACACACGATTAGATTCCTCATCCATCGTTCTTTCTCGACCAAGACTGCAAGGTTCTTTTTTCATGTACGATACCTTTTCAAGTTAGATAAAAGACTAAGCTAACTAAACTATAAAGACTTTAACTTAACGATAAGTCATGAAAAGAGCCTAACGAATTTATTGTGACATAGAATGAAGTCATTCAACAGAATCTTCCGTTTGAATCCATACTAATCTCATCGTTCTTAATCATTGTTTGAAAAAAGATCGATGTTTATAGGACAATACTCTAAAAACATAAAGACATTAATTTTTAGTGGAAAATAAGAGACGCCATCTTTCGAGGACAAATTTGCCACGATTTAGTAAGATGCTAACGGCGTCTTTATATCCTTACTCCTTTATAACATACGAAATAATTCTGGTTCTAGAAGGATTAATTGTGTCTGTGTATCTGCGAAAAAACATGGACAAATGGCTGATTGGTATTTCGCGGACAAAGCCAAGAGAAAATAAAAGAAAAAGATGGCGCTATTATACTTCTATCTTTATGTTATTTCGTACGACAGAAACGACACAAGATAATTTTGAACAGGAACGGTTCAGCGTTTACTATGTTTAATAAGTGTTATCAAAAACTTCGTATGCATACCGCTTTTCAATATTAATAGTTCTAATTAGATTGTTACCATCATTTTAGCATTTATTGAAATTCATCTAGGATCGAAACATTAACCATAGAGAATGAACCATCATTACGCATTATTGTGGAATGTATTATTACTTTTCTAGGTCAATTATTCTAGTGCTGTATTTAAATCGATTCTTCCATTACTAATTCATTTCAATTTTCATGTACGGATATTTTCTTGTGCTACATTAATGCAATTATTAAATCAAATTGAAAATTTACAATTAGAAAATGCAACACAATACATTAATTTCAAATGGATAAAACAATGCGATCCTAAATCAGAGTAGGACTTCTTTTTTTTCTTCTCAGAATTGAAATCTTATAATCTTAGAATTTATCATCTTATAATTTTATAAATTTTATTTTTTCTCGTTTTTCAAATCTTATTTTTCGAGGAGTAATATTCGTGGATCAGTACCCCGCCACAAAATTTGTCTTCTTATGCAAGATACCTGTACAGTAACCACTGACGTTACGCCTGGCTTTATTGATGAATACTGATCAAACTTTGTTTGTATATCTTTTCAAAAAAATAGGTGTGACAACGGGCGAACAAGAATGCGTCTAGTTTTTGAAATATTAAACATATTACTCTTATTTCGTTATACAAAATTATCTGCATTAATATTCAGAGTGTTTCTTGCTCACTCGACCGAGAACTATAATGGTTTCTTGAAAAAGTACGAATATTTCAATTTCTAAGGTTGTATACTGTTGATCAGCTTTAGCAGTCGCTTGTCCGGTTGTATCAGTATAAGTTTGTAACAAATTAGTGTATCTTATTAAGGCGCCCCAAATTCAGAGTTACAGTGATATTTCAGTTCGTGGCTGAAACATACATCAGTCGATGCAGAATTTTCCGCTGATCATGAATATCTTACTTTAATAAATTTCAGTACGCGTATTGAGCGAAAAAAATCGAAAAATTGAAACTTGTCGTTTTTTCGAAAAATGTGATAGAAACTCTTCTGGCTATTCAAAACAGTATTCAGATTTATTCCAGCTTTTACTGAAAAATCAAAAAGAAAGAAGTTCTTACAGGGTCGGAAAAAATGTTTTTCCAGGGGGTACCGCTCAAACTACAAATAATATCACAGAGTATTATATATCAAATTAATGCCCATTAAAGATGAAATTTATGAGTATACTCGATAGCCCATACAACGATTACTGGCTCTTTAAATATGAAAATCTCTTGAATCCTATGGTTAAACGCGCTCGTGCTTTACGATTTTCATTCTTCTGGTACATATTTCTTCAAAAATAATAGCAGATTCGTGATCTCCATCCAAAACTGAATCTATAGACATGTCATCTGTATATTTTTGAGAGTACAACATTTTTCGAAAAAACATTTTTTCGAAAAAATTCT